TCAGGATGAGGAGCACAAGTTGTGCCATCATCCGAGCTCAAACACCCTCGGGTCCTGCTCCACCCATCGAGCAAATCCACACGTGCCTTACAGCCTTGCTTGAGGCTGCAGCAGTGCTTCACTCGCCATAACTCTAAATACTGATAAGGATGTAGAAGCAATAAAGAAGCATTTATACTGTCCATTGCAGTGAAAAAAAAAAAGAGATGGAAAGCAATTTACTTGTAAATGAGCATATGGATCCAGAAGTCACTGGGTGAAGCCAGCACAAGACACTCTGAAGAGCCCACAAAGACCTCCACTTTCTCAGTGACACAGCACCACTGAGAAATATCTCCCTTCAAGAGGCTTCGGATTAATGAGGCTGAAATTCCTAAGCATGTCTCCAGAGATGGAAAATGAACCCTGTGGGGCCCAATGAAAACATGCACTGCTAGGTCAACATGAGGTGCATCTTTTCTGAAACTTGATGTACTATCCTTTCACAGATTTAGACACAGATTTAACATTCAGCAGAAATTTTTAGAAACCAAACCAAAGGGAAAACCAGAGCGTGACAGTTTGTGCCATCTGCATGGGATATGAGCATGAGTTTTAATGACACTAGTTAAAACATTATTAAAAAAATTATATTCAAATCCATTTACTGATTATAAACCCTCTAACAAAAAAAAGCTCATGGCATGTGCACTTGCACCTGCTGCTGTTGTGTGCTCCAGCTGACTTCTTGCATAGGAGGTTCTGCATCAATGGGGATGGCAATTCACTGCTAGGCATCCTTCCTCCCTTCCCATCCTTTTTCTGCTGCACTAGTAAAGCAGAGTCTAAAAAACCACCCAAAGTTACTCAGTGGGGTGAGGGCCACACTGGAAATGCATACTATTAGAGAGCAGGCTACCACTGTGATGAAATGAGAGCTACATTTTGACACTATTCTCTGGTGCTTGCACTGTGCAGGAGGTCAAGACTTTACTATGCATACTCTGATCCTCCTGGAGACTCAACACCTCCTCAACTGCACAGCAAGCATTTCAGGCTATTTCTATTTTTATGAACTTTCTAGACACTTTCCTCATCTTCCATTTAAAAATGTGTCTCTACTGTATCCCAAGCCTCTCCACCCACTAAGCTATTTGCAATTCCTCTACCACTATTGAAATAGATGCTGTATAGAATCAGAAGCCACAAGAAAACAATGAGAGTAGTAAGCAGAGCTGTATTTAATAAAGAATTTATACAGTATGTTGCAATTTTTAAAAACACATTTCTATAGAAAATAACAGACCTATTATTTCCCCTCAAGAGCTACATTTCTCAATTTGACATATTGTAGACCAAACTAAGCTCTTTTCCCTTCTGTAGTTCCTCAGACTCCAGAAAGTTGCAGGTTTAACTCCTCAACAGTAGTGTATCTGCAGACTAGTTCTACTTCCCATGTGTTTGGCAGCCCAATAGCAAAGCAAAGCAGGAATCCTTTCCCCGACTGGGCACTGAATTCTCCTGCAGCCAGAGCTCAGGGCTGCACCCCTGACCCACCAGCTGCAGTGCTGCAGCAGTGCACCTTGTCCCAGTGCCTCAGAGGTAGCTCAGAAATAGTTCAGGTAAGGGACAAGGATGGCTGCAAACGTCCTTTACATGAGTTTACATAGCAATATGAGCTTTATACATCACAAGAGCCAAACACATATAACCAACATAGAAAGCTTCAAAAATGCTGGGGCCCTTGCTTGTTTTTCCTGTATTTTGGCCATGTGCTCCTCTGGTACACTTCAATCACAAGAAATTTACCTCAGAAAGAGTTTTTGGAGAAAACATCTCAGGAGTAATGCTGAGTGTTCATCTTGAATTCCCAAGTGGTGTGTTCCTACTTGGGGTGCCCAGAAGAAGATCAATAACACTCACACACCTCTGCTGCTGTCATTGTCCGTGTACATGACCAATGCCACCCTCCAAACAGCACAGGTGTAAGACAGCTGCCTAATATTTGTAGCCCTTTGAGAACAAGTAATAGGAATGGTAGCACCCAGCTGAAGCCCCTGATTCTTTCTATTCACGTTATGTTAAAAATCAAACAGTTATAATTCTGCCTGGATTAGAATACAGGATCTAAAGGCAAATTAAATTTCACCATCCACATTAAGAAATCAATTCAGCTTCTGAACTGGATCCGCTTTGAATTTAGTTGAAATGGGGTTTGATGAAAGTCTCCTGTTCAGCAGCAGAAATAATTATCACACCCATCTTAATTAGACCATGAACTTGACTCTAGGATCCCCAAAGGAGTATTGAAAGCTTGGTCCAGTTACACTGAACTTGGTCCAGAACACTGAAGCTTATCCATCAAGATAAATATATTACCAGTTCTTTGATACAACAGATGCTTGATGAGTAATGGAGCAAATGCCTTTTTAACTACGGTTTTTTAAAAGGATTATTAAACTGCACTAAAGTGTGTGCTGTTATCTTTGAGGGGAAAAAAGTATAATATATGAAAAACAATTATTACAGAGCACATGGAACACAATTTTTCAAGCACTAGTTTCAGAATTAAAAACATTTGAACAAAGGTTCTCTGTGGAGTGTTACTTTGTAACCAATTCAAGGCTTTAAATAGCTATTGTTTTAAAAAATTGTCAGCTATAGAAATTGTTTTCCCTTCAGATTCCAAATCCTGTCAGACCAGGGTGATTAAAATGTTGCATTAAAAAAAAAGTAGGGGGAGGCAATCTAATCTCCCCTTATAAAAGTAAAAGCAGCAACTCAGTTTTTAAAGTATCATGAACAAAAGGCTGTAGCCCATCTATCATTCACATACGGATCCATGTAATGATTCTTCAATTAGAATTATTATCTGTACAGCAGCTGAAGACTGAGAACTGCTGATACACTGCAGATGAGAACATTTGCTAGTCTCTGGGCTCCAGCCTTTCTTAAAAAATGATGATCACACAGTATAGATTGCTCAGTTTATATGTGTATTAAGCTGCAATGCCAGCATTTACATTTGCAACATTACAATTTTGCTTTCTTAGGCTCAGGAGAATTTGCTGCATCTGGTAGATTTTATTTGCTTTGTATCTTAGGCAATTGTTACGAGCAAAGCACAAATAGGCAATATTATTGCTCCAAGTCCTTTGTTTTGTTGATTATCTCAGATACTACCAAAAAAAAAAGTAAACTAAGAGTGGGCCTGTGAGATGGGTCATTCAGTGTCAATTCACTTGCACTCTATTATCCCAGTGCTATTTTTATAAGGCAGAGCCATCTGCTCCCTCATTTCTTCCACCTGTACAGATACAGATAGTCTAAGATGCAACATCAGAGGGAAAGAAAAGCATCTCACACAACAGTTCCAGGCCCTGTTTAAGAGGAGAAAGTCACTTTAGTGATTCGGGCTGCAGCAACCTGAGGGGCCCCTGCCTACCCTTGCACCCGAGTTACATGTTGTGACCCAGAAGATGATGGAGAAAGGTAGACACATAAATAGTAGCTGTGAGACTGCCTTATAAATGGGCATCTCTGCTTGGTGTTTCTGCTAAGGATTCCTGCTCTGTGAGCCCTGAGTATGTTCTGGAGCCCAGGCAGCCTTCCCAGATGTCTCCCTCATAATGTAGAAGCTGGAGGCAGCAAGTTGGCTCCTACAGATTTTTGAGCCATGTGAAAGCCTTTAGCGATGTGTGTATGTAGAGATTAAAAAAAGGGCTGCAACTTAATTAAGAAGCTTTTCTACTTCACTGTACAATCTTGGAGAGATCTTCAGAGAAGGCAAATACTGCTAATGTATTTGTTATTTGTTTTACACTGCACAGTTTGGCCACTGCCATCCTTTGCAGGACTGCTTTTAGTGGGCAAGAGCTACAGCCATGAAATCTCCCTGTAACTGTAACACAAAGGAAATGAAACCTCTGCTCATGGGTACATGCTCCAGTGTTATTTCACTACTTTATTATAGACATTACTGAACAGAGACTAAGAAATTTATACCCTTACTTGAAAAATACTTTTTATCCTCTACTGAATCTCCTGTTTCAGATACACTGTAAAGAACCATGTCTTCTCCACTTACTTGGAAGGATATTGCCATTTGAATTACTTAAAAATTCCTTACATTTATGCAACATTATAGAATGGTTCTGTCTCTAAAAAATTAATATTAATTAAAACTGAAGACATTTATGGGGATAAAGCAAGCAAACAAAACTGAAAACTAGTACAAAAGCTTACCAAAGCAATATAACATGAATACTTAGTTCAAGAGTTCTTACATTGTGGTGGGACACATTTCTCAAAATATTTTAGATTTTCTTTCTTCAGGTGGCTTCCCTAAGATCTGTGAAGAACTAGAATGCCACAAAATAAATTTTGTATCTGTTTTCAATTGAAGCCATTGCCTTATTTTTTTTTTATTAAAAAGGTTTAGGAAGTAAAATCCAAAATATACTTAGGTCTATGAACTCTTGTTCAGAGCGTTGTTGAAATTTTCAGCTTTGATTGCAAATGGGAAACATTTCAAAGACAGAAAAAAACATTAATCGAGAAAGCAGTTCGATCTGTGTTAGAAGTGACTGAATTACTTTCAGCAGACAATAAATTATGATACCAAAAAAGGCAGAAATATCTTCCTCTCAGAGAAGGCAAATGTTATTTTCTTTACTCAGAATCAGAATACTACTCATCAAAATGCTTATTTTAGCTGCTATCACATATCTCCCTAAACTCTTGTATTAATAGTGCTAACATTCACTGATCGTCTAAATCAATAACTTACACTCATTCAGGCAATATCAAAAACCAGAAAGAAAGGTATCACTAAGGCCTGGTGGTTTTCACTGGCTGCTCCAATATACAGAATATTGAGGCAGTAAGCTGCAGAGATGTGGCTCCAAAGTTTGTGGAAGTTTTACTGACTGGAAAAACTGAGGTACAGCATGTTCTCATAAAAAAATAAAAAAAAGGGGAGGGGGAAGGGAGGAGTGGAGGGGGAAGGGAGGGAGGGAGGGGGAAGGGAAAGAAAAGACAAGCTATTTACATCTCCTTACAGCCACAAGGGCTCAGAGGCCAAGTTACCTGACATGTCTCCAAGGATGTGTTTGTACAGCAAACAACAATGGTGACTGCAGTCAGGGGAGCTGTACCTGCACAAGCTTTAATCAATCTCATGTGTAACTCCAGCAATAACAATGTGGAAGCAGCAGTTCAACTTAAGCTGAAGATACAAGGGACCTCATTAAGTGAGAGCACCTTCATGATGATCAGCACATTATTAACTCCCACATACTAGCATCACCTCTTGCATGAATTCATTTGAATGTGCTGGACAGACAATCTCTCAAAAGTATCACTGTTTTGATAAAGTGATTTACAGAGGGCTCTGAAGGATACATGTCTATGATCCCGCTCAACAAAGTAACTAAAACATTTCCTGACACTTAGAACTCATTAATGGTGGTATCCTGAACAACACTACAGACAGGCAAAGAAAATGCCTTTGAACATTATGCTTACTTTGAACAGTAAATTACATAGAAGCTATGTACAATGTAGTAACCACATTACTTAAGAATAACTACACATTTTGCAACCTGCAGCACTGTCACTCCAGTGATATGGAACCTTTGTCTGAGGAACAGACTCTGAATCTATTGTTTGCTTAATGAATTCAAATCAGCAACTGCACAGATCCACAGAAGCAACAGTGCCAATGGCAAGAGACACTACAAAAATGGAAGTATATCTATTTCAACAACAGTGGACTAAAAATGCCAAAATACTCTCAGGTCTCACTGGGTCTTAAAACTGCATTACTCCTACATGGTTTTCCTCCTTTCCAGTGAGTTTTTGATCTGATCACCCTATCAAATCAGAAGATCAAAAACAAAACACCCAAAGCCAAACCTCCCCCAGTGACTGTACCTCTTCACAACCCCTGACATTCAGTATTAAGGCTCCTTTAGGCTGCTGAACTACACTGCAAATGTTTTCAAGAGCTGAGTACTAACAGGATATGAGGTACTCCTGGTTCCTCTTTGCCACTGGAGGCTGACTAGTTCTAGGTAGTTCATGACAGGGGGGAACACCTGAAAAACATTACTATTCCAACTCTGTAATTTACCTACACAATCTGAACACTGTATTTAGTAAGTGCTATGCCAACATTTGCATAAATCATTGAAAAGAAATTAAAAGTGACACATTCATTAATGAAAAACAAAGTATTTTGAGAGAAGAGAAATGTTGCTTGGGTGGTCTATATCTAGCAGGAAATTCAGTCACTGCCACAGACAATGCTGTAAAACAAAAGCATGTGAATAAACATACAGTGATTTGGTAAACACTGTCCAAATAGCCACACACAGACGGAAAGGCAAACTGTAAGTCTTTGAACATAAAGCTTTACTTTGGCAGATATCAAGTGCATTTTTCATACACTGCAAAACACTCGTGTCTGGTCCCTTGTTCTTGGAGAGAGTATCAACTACTTTCTTAAAGCTGAATTCCATCCAAATTTTTATTACTGTTTTCAATAAAAAGAACATAAGATCAAGAATAAATTTCTGCAGTGCAGATGCATAGTCCTAACCCAACACAAACCTGACATACTTCAGACAAAACCTTATTTTCCTGTGTTACTATATCTGTATCTTCTAGTCTTCAAGTTGTTCTGTGGCTGCATTAGCATCACTGATTTCATTTTTACAGTTTTCTTGCTTTGCTTCTTTTCTAAAAGTCTTCAAACACTTGTCAAGTCTTTTCAAGAATACATCTACATCTTGCTTTTTAATTCCAATTGCTGAGGCAGCATTGAGGTAAGCACAAGGATAGTCATTTGTATGTGACATAAAGCCTTTAAAAGTGTAGTTATTCACAGTTTGTACAGACCCACAGGGAACAACCCTGAAACAAACAAACAAAATCACGATTCAGTTAAAGATGCCTTGACGTTTTATGTGGTACTCTAGGTTGAACACAATTACACAAGTTCCTATTGAAGTAGAGAGTTGCTATTCCTACCACTGATGCTCAATACCAGCATAACTTCAAATCTGTTGAAATGCCAGGTCAAAGTATATTTTACAAAATAATTACTTATGTAACAAAAGGGAAAACCTGAAACCTTCACATCAGGGAAAGAATTCTAAAGTTTTAACTTCAAAAATGGAAACTCAAAAAATTTCAGCCTAAGATGGTTAAAATTACAGAACCAGCCAAGGTTAGGACAGGCAAATTAAAGAGAGCATCTAACCACAGAACATATAGATTTACTGTCATTCATCTGTGCAGGAAGTGGAATAATCCAAGCTAATGAAGCATACCTTCTGATGTGGAAATATTCAGCTCTGCTACAAAAAAAATAACATTAAGTCTATGACAGAAGTTAGCAAGGCAGCAGTAATATTCAGATTAAGGAATGCTGCCAAAACAAATTTTAAATCATTCTCTTCTTCTAAAAGGTTTAAACCAAAATCATTAAAGACTGTTTGGCTTGCATTTCATTTTAACAGTGTCTCTAAGAATAAATTCAGCTCAGACTGGCTCAGGTTATAGATTTTTAATTTTAAATTTTTTTAAACACAATTAGTTCCAGAAAGCAGAATTTTTTTCCATTTGACAAAAAGCTGTGTAGGATATTAAAAGCTTATTCCCTTGACATCCAGCACAACCATATTTGTGCTGCAATAAACAAAACAAAGATCCTCCATTGTAGCTTACATCTATACTGTAAGATCAGACAACATCTGGAAACTAAACGAAATCAAGGGATACTAGGGAACAGTGACACTAAATTAAATGGGCATAGATTATCTATTTAGGATACCAAAGCAGACATAGAAAGCCTCACTGCCAACTCAGGCAGGGAGACATTACTGCTCTATAACAGTGATGACAAAGGGTGATTACTCTCTAACTCGTTAGGCTGCCTTCTGTAATCATGACACAATTGGTATAAAACACTTCACAGGATTTCCTACAATATATGCTAATACACCCCCCCACTCCCCCAATCTTTTAAACTCATAATATCCTTACCTTGCTCCAGAAACTTGTCTTGTGAAAAGCATAGATCCAAGCTGGGTAACAGCAGCATCATTAGTTTCATCTAGAGTCTTCAGTGACATGGCTAAAGTAACACAAGGTCAGGTTAAAACGGCTACAAAGCTACTTTTTCTCCAAAGAACTACCACAAATGACAAGTTGCTTTCCAACAGCAAGAATCTATTCACATACTTGTGTTTGCATACAAAGAAAAAAAAAGAAACATTACATATAATTTTTTATTTTTCCACAAGCTTTCATAGATTACCTCTTGGTTAGACTCTATGCAGATTCTGCACACGTGGGCAGTATTATTTTGGTGTTCAGCAGAAGTTTTGGTTAAAACAAATACCCTGAGTAGGAATTCCATAATTTCTTTTACAACTAAGATGATGAGTAATTATACCCTAATTTATTTTTAAATCTATTTTTTATGAAGTATTACTACATGCTAACATCTTTAGCCTGTCTTGAATTAATTTCTGTCAAATGAGTATGTTGGACAGGAGCAAAATAATGGGTCCAAGGTGCCACACTACTTTTATATTAGATAACTTTTTTAGTAACCTTATTGAATTATTATTCAATTGAGTAGAGTGTAGTGCTGTTTAATATATAGGAATGGTACGTGGAAATGCATTATGAATCCACAGTATATTAGATTTTTTTAAAGTTAAAACCCCAACAATTACCTAAGGAAATGGGATTATGTGGTGTGTCTAACAGTCTCTCATTGTGGTTATCTGCCAGCTTCTTCAGCTCACTTGAAAGATACGAAAACATCTCCTGAAAAAAAGATGCAATATTCTTGTTATTAACTATCAAACAGAGAAAATAGCACCTATTTCACAAAACTGTTATGTCTCCTTTATATCCTACAGGTGCTCAGTTGATTCTCTTTTCATGTGCACCAAGTAAGGGGATCAGACAATTCTCTGAAATAATTCTATAAAGGAACAGCTCCATTTCCTGAGCACTGTTCTTATCTCTCAAGCTGATACAGAAGTCTCTATCTGGTCTAATATATGTGCTTGGGATGTCACTCATTCTCTCTGTGGCCCTGAAACCTAGGGAGGCAGAAAATCTTGAAGAGATTCCCACTGCACAGCAGGTCTTACCCCACACCACTTTTCAAGAGCCTCCTCATGCCCTAGTCCCCTAAACCACTGGGAATGAACTGCTGCCATCACAGATGGCCACGTTTTGCCAAATTGCTCCTTACTCTGTCTTCTCTCCTTTAATACATTCCAGACTAAAAGCAGTAAATCTTGCTACCATGTATCATATTTCCCCCTAGTGCAGAGATTTCTTTTTCTGTATGAGAATAAAAATCCAGCCTCTTAAAGAGGCTATAAGTACACATTTGACTGTATTTTGTTTCACACAATATACACTCTCCTGAATACTCAGCTCTGTTGAGCAGTCTGTCCTGTCCCTAGGACCCCACTCCTGTTCAAGCTGACTATAAGAATGGAAATATCTGAATTTCTGCTATCACTTAATTGGATTGCACCTTTACTGTGAAAGTGTCATAAGACTGAGATTCATAAATACTTTGGCACAGATACAAGCCACACTGCACATAAAAGGCTGTTTCTCTTACTTCATCTGTATTTTATATCCTCCCTCTTCCCCTGTAATAAGCTATGATAATTGCTCATGCTCTTCCTCAGTTTAATACATTCCTTTTCAGATATCAGCTCAAAACACTTATGGGCAGAGTGAGAATAAACACCATTCTTATTGTAAGCTTTAACATTTTTTCCATCCCTTTTAATGCTTAGTCTCTCATAAAAACTAGCAAAACCATACAGACACTGGATAGCCTTTTTAAAAGATATTAAACACCAGGCTTCTCCTCTTTGAGGCCATAAAAATTGTCCTGCTTATCTGCTTCAGTGTGACTGCCTTTAAGCATCCTCATCAATTTCTGGACCTGACAAGTGATTTTTCATTCTTTAAATAGAATTACCTCTTCTGTTTGTAGAGCAGTATCCTGCTTTGACCTATGGACTCTGACAGATATAAATTACAGCTTGTGATCAAAATTATGCTTTTGAACAGACCCTCCCCAAGGTCTTATGAAACCAAATGAGGTTTGTGGTACCTAAGTTAGAAGAAGGTTACAGCTGCTCTTCTTGAACCACTGCAGGAAACCTTGCCTCCCTACATGAGCAACGAAATGAACACAGCTCCCCACCTGTACTTCCTAATATCACAGAACAAATACAGATGGAGAGAAAAGAGTACCCTCTTACTGTCTAAATGAATTAGACTATTGATACAACTATTCACAAAAACATAAAGCTTCTGTAATACTTGGAAAAAACCCCCAAAAATTGGGAGGTGTCTGTGTCTAATTATCAGAACTTGAAATCTGTGAAAATCATTCTTACTTCTCATAAATCAAGTGATTTTATGGTTTTAGTTCAGAGTTTATTTACGGTTCACTCACAGATGCTGAAAAATATTCATGTTTCAAATGTTCAAACACTTCTGCCTTTCCTCTGGTCCCTCACTGTATAGAAGCACATTATTAATTTGTTACTTTCCATAATAAGCATCACTAATATACTAGCCTTTTATTAGTATTTATTCTGGAATACAAATCATAAATTAATTTGTGCTCCCTCTGCTGGCTATTTACTTCTAAAACTGAAGAAAAATATTGTAGAAATACACATAAATTGTGAGATAAATTAATATATAAATTCTCTGGAGATATTATTGATGAAATTAGTACTGAGAAAAAATATACTGGAACAAGACCAATTTCCAAATAATTTTTGTGTGTTCTATCTAGAAAATTCTCTGATACATCTCTTATAGTATAACTGAAAGGATTGCTGAAAGGAATACTGGAAGTATTACTGAAAGTTGGTATAAAAAGTTACCCACTGCATAAATGTGTTAAATTTAATTAAATCTATTCAATGAAATTAGGTTACTATATGAGCCCTTACATACATAGGAATTAGTTAAAACAAAGGATAATGGAAAGATGGCAAAAACCCCCAAGTATGTATTTTCATCAGTTTGACTAAAGCTACATGAACACAAATTCAAAGTTTCCTGTTTTTATGAACACTATTTTGCATCTTTCCATTGGAAGCCCTCTAGACATTTTATAGTTTCAGAAGTCTGTTGCAAAATAGATTAACTGCCTTTCCAACAAAAAAGGATTAAAGCAATATTTTTGTGAGGTCAAATCTATAACCAACCTCCATTATAAAATATTTCTCATTTATGGAAAATTTATAAGCACCTTAAGCAATTATATATAACTGAGCTCCTACATAATAGATTTTCTGTAGCAGGCACTCAAGTTTTCTCCGAAGAAGACAAATATAATGCTGAAGTTATACTGAACAACTCAAGCACTAAATGTCAGTTAAGTTTCATTAATAATTCACTCCTTTACCTTAGAAACTTATCCTAAAACCTCATTAGGCTAGACAAATGAACACTAAACTATGTGGAAGTGTCTTTCACTTCTGGTTCTTTGAGCACCTAAGCCAACAGAATACCTAAAAAAACAAACAAGTCAACAACATTGTCTGCACCAAACAGGCCAAATAACTCAACTGTTTGGATGGAACAGTCTACTTTCACATACATATACAAAAATATTTTCAAGAAGTATTGTAACAATCATGTAACAAAAATATTTGGATCATACTGTATTTACACTATAAAACTATTTGTAATAGAACCTACACTAGCATAGGTGACTCTTCATTTGCTCCATTGGGATAGGCACTGTTCTTGCAAACAAAAATAACAGGAGGGAAACAAGTAAGGAAAAAGCCAGTGACTCCAGAGAAAAAGAAGATGGAGGTACTGAATAAGCCATCAGTCCCATACCAGCTGACAAAGAGGCAACTGATGAAGGCCAGGAAAGTTTTTGTGCAGAGCTGAAACTATCCTAGCTGGCTCTAAGCACCCAGCTTGCTTACACCCTGAGTCTCTAACACTCTGCCTTTCTCCGTGTCACTGTCACCTGAACAGACGAGCTGTCCTCAAGGAACGGTCACAGAGCTGGGGATGGTGCAGAAGAGGACACTGCCCAGGAGTCATTTCACAGCCTCTTCACCCTCCACACAGGCTGCCAGCTCTCCTACGCTTGCCTGAGACCGATCTGGTCCCACCTTACTCTGCAGCAGCAGCTGCTTTATAATGCAGCCCTCACACCTCCTGCTCCTTTGCTGTGATCTGACCAGAGCCCCTGGTGCCCCACCCAGCAGAGGAGCTGCAGGGCTGAGCATGGACACCTGCCAGCAGATGAGGCTCAGCTTCTTGAAATGCAGCCAAACACATGACAAACGGTATGTGCATGTGTGTGACACCTGCATATACTACACAACCTCCTAGGCAGATTCTCTTATACTGCAGGAATTTTTGTTATGGATTTACACTAGAAAGTTTTAAAAACACGTAATTAATTACAGAACCTTGAAATCTTTATATCATCAGTATCTAACAAAGTGCCCAGTAAGCCTTGCCAATCTGATTTGGTAACACTAACGTTCACATTTTTTTAAAGGCCTCTCTTAAGAACAGCAATCAACACATTCTCTCTTCAGCACTTGTGAGACCTTGAGTTCAGACTCTGTGACCCACACTTCAACACAGGCTCTAAGTATGGAGGCTTCTGAAATTTCCATTCATGCTTGGCACTTGTTTAATTACACACAATTTAAAACAATTCATTTAAACTAATTTGCCTCCAGCTACTCTAAAGCTTGAATATGGTTACATATACCTCACATGAGGAAAATCCTCCAATATTCTTATATTTGACATGCTACAGTATAACAAGTTGACTAGAAAAAGAGGAGTAACAAATGTCTATCTTGCTTTGAGAATAGCTGATTTTTTTACATTTTTAATATTCCTCATTAAATGTCTTTCCTCTTCTTCCATCGTAAGTAGAGCAGCAATACAAACTCACACTGAACTATGCAAATAATTTATTCCAATCAGAACTACTACATCAATGATAACTCATGAAACATAAAGCCAGTATTATACTGAATTGTAAAACCCAAACAACTTCCTCCCACTCGGTATGATTTTAAATATTTTAGATACATACTCCATAAGGAAATAAAAATAACTCCAGTTTTACTCTCAAAGTATGCAGACAGATGGATACCAATATAAAAAGCTCTATCACATCCCACAGTAACACAGAAATGCATTTAAGAAAATGAGAGTTATCTTGATTGTTAAGTCTAATGAGGAAATCCATAACTGCTGTAAACAAAACCATCACCTCTTCAATAATACTGGTATAATAATTAGTTAAGTGGATTAGAAGGACCATATTGGATAATAGCAGGTATTAAACCTTGTCTGTAGGGTTCTGAATGCAAACCCTGAATGCAGGGCTCTTGTTCTCCATTAAATTTGAGATGATAACTAAGCCTGCTTATGCCATTACACAGTTCAACAACTATAGTTACTTCATATGGTTTAGACACATACACACATATATGAAAATAGCAACTTTTATGACCTAGAAATGTAAAATACAGGACTTAACATAACCTGTACTGAGGCATCAAAAGTTGCTATAAAAATACAACCTTTACATAAAGTTCTTTAAGAGCAAAGACATTAACAAATTTGACTATGTACCAGCTGTTTTCTGCACTGCAAAAGGACCTAGAATGGCCTACTGAGATCAGGAAACCACTGTTATAACCATCACATAAACATATAAAAAGGAATTCTGAAAAGTCAGTACTTCTTTGTATCACTACATATAATCTCATACTCTTGGACAATTGCACACTCCACAACTCCCAGCCTGTCAAAAAAAATCTCATTCCATGTACATCCCTTCCTGTATTAAATAGCTAATCTGTGTAGAATAAAAACTGGGCATTATTTTGTTGTTTGTGTGAGACTAATCTCTTCTCAGTAATATTCTGGGCTTTCTGGCCTAAGCTCAAATAACCTGAAGTAACACCCATACAAATCAAGATCAGGTAAAAAGAGAAAGGAAAAAAAGATACCTGAAGTTTTTTATAGCTGATTTTTTTTTTTGTGTGAGTAGGTGCAGCTGCACCAATATAGAAAGGAGTACTCAATGTCAAGCTATAAATAGCTCCTGCTGGAAGCTTAATAGCTCTGCCTCTGCTTCCTCAGAGCACAGGCAATAAACTACCACTATTGCACTTTTACAATTCAGGAACAAACAGATTTAAGCAAAAATGTTTCTCTTTCTACAGCAAATCCAATAAAAGAAACATATTTATGCCATATATAAGGCTCTGTTTATAGAGTATATTCACATTTGAAATAAAAAGGCCTGAAGTTGTAAAAATATAATACTGTGTTCACTTTAGAATTCTACTTCCAAGAAAATTAGGTGACTCAAAGTGTACAGCTATTCATTAAGACATTTATGAAAGAATTATTATTTATGACTCAGACAATATTTCTCATGCCCTTTATACATCAGCTACTGGTAGAAATCTAACAACTAAATCAGCTTCATAGAAAACAATAAATGCACTTGAGATTCTTCTGGACATAGGAGTAAAGGGGAAAAATACAATTTGCTTTTAATGAAGACACAAAACATAAATCACAATACATACAACAGTCCAGAATAAAATGTTGCAGTAGAGGCAAAAGTGACTGCTTTCAGTGTTTCACAAGCTGGTTTCACTTTAGTTGCACAGATGACTTCTTAGTCACTGTAAGGCTGCTAAGTTGGTTTGATTTTCTATAGCCTAGCTATTCCTATGGGACCTCAGTTCCAGTACAGAGTTTATGGATGCCCTATAAGCAGCTAGAAATAAGTCACAGCACCTAAAACTACTGCTCAGCCACATAATCAGAGACAGCAGCAACCTGTCAGCAGAAAACAACTGGAACATAGTTTTCAAACGAAATAATGAAACAGATAATGCATAGCTTAAAATTATTATTTTAATAGTACTTAATTCACAGCATTTCTTATTGGAGGACTCTATAAAAAGAATCTTCTGCATTACTATATAAAGAGAGAAAAATCAGACTTATTAATTCCAGAATTAAGGATAACTCAAGATATACAATTTCCAACCTGACATGCACTGGATTTTTCTGCAGTGCAATTATACCCAACTTAAAACCTATAGTCTGTGAAAAGCAAAGAAGAAACTAAGTTGTGTGTTTAGATGAATAACTAAAACAACAATACTCTTCTCTTTTTGTGGCAATGCACAGTATTTATAACCCAACCAGAAGCTGTGATTCTCCAGAGAATGTGGCACACAAACATTTAATTAAGCACTAACACAGCACAAAGGACAATAGGGACAAAAGAGGAAGAGCACAGACCCGGGGTTACTCTGGGTGTCCAATCTCCTGTCCTGGAAGCAGTGTGACCATGATAAAACAGTACAGTATTTCTCCATTTAAATTTTTGTGGACAAAATCCTACTATTTAGTCACATTTAGGAACAACAAACATGAACACCGTACAAGGTAGTACAGGCCCTCTGTTTAGCCTCCTGGATTGAACAAACAACAACATGGAAATCATGCTTACTCACAAGCACCATTTAGACAAGAAGTAATTGTATCACACTGACTTTCCAGATTCAGAGCTCTGCCTCAGAATAAGTTCAATGGCTTTCTAGACAGAAACTGGATTTACCACACAAAGCAGTTTTGCAACAGAGCTGACTTCAAGAAAATACTGCTTGCCAAAAAGCTTACCTTTCTTTCTTTCAGTAACTTTTTGTAGCCACTGGTTCCCAGAGACAGAAGTGTAATGAGGACATCTAAAGAAGGAGATGCAGATGCTCTTCCTGAAAAAAAAAAACCCCAATATATACATTAAAGTGGCAAAAAAAAAAAAAAAATGTGAAAGAAAGCTGATAATCAAGTTTTCTACAGCAATTCTGTATGCTGAAATCAGCCCATGAACCAGTTACCTGGATACATTTTGCTGATCTCCTGAATGAAGGACTCGTTGAAGCCAGCAATGATAGCACCACCTACTGGAACCATAAAATTTTTGTCCAAGCTCTGAACAAAAGCATCTATTCTGCCAACTCGAGCACCCTTTACCAAAAAAGACAAAAAAAAAAAAATCCACAGCATACATTAGAACTAAGGGAAATGTGATAGCATAATAATTATATAAAAGTGTAGCCAAAATAAATATAATTCCTGAAACTCTCGGATACTGCATTTGTGATCAAAACATAAAAATCACAGTATTACCTCTTTTAGCACTGCTTACTATTGGTACCATTGTCTGCCTAACATAGAACCTTACAAATTCCCATTTTGCTGTGATTTAAAATATCAATTTTAGTTCCTGCAAGTCTAAGTGTGGCTCCATTTCAGCAACAATCAAAAAGAAACCCCTCAAAATGTAATGGGAATTATACAGTTAGAATTGTTCAATCCTGAACACTTTTTACAACTCTCACACTAAAAGGCTATGAATTAATGCTTCATTAGCAAAACTTTTTTCAATACATATATAAATTTGCATTAAACAAACAGGCTTATTACAGCACTCCTTCTTCTAAGGCTGCTTTCAAAATCAAGATTCAAGTACCTTCTTATAGCAGATATTCCCCACATCCTTATACCAAACCACTCCTATTTTCAAAGGAAAAAATGTAGATTCTGCAGTACACCTTCAATTTGAGTAGCAGGTAACTGTGTAGTGTACAATTAAAAAGTATGAAGCATAAGAACCTGAAAAGTAGGTTAAACCCCATACATAGCAAAGTACATGCAAATACACATATTTTTACAACTACATACTAAATATAAGAAGTAGAAACAGAGTTAATATCTGTGGCAAACAGAAAAAAAGCAGAGCCAACTAAACCTCATTTATTAGTTCTATATTTTGATAGCTTAATGCACAGAAGACAGGAAGAACACTCCAAGTTTGTCAGCTTTTTGTTGGGAACATGAATGCCAGCAGCTACCATTAGATTTAATTGACAGGAGAATACCAGAGGAAAAGCACAACATGAAATGGTCTCAAAAGCTTTTTCCTGTGGTACTCTTGCAAGTCGTATTCACACTGTGCTCAGCATATTCATACATCTAAGTATTCATTAATAACTACTTTCTCGTAAACACAAAAATTTTCTAGCACAAGTAATAAATTTTGTAAGAAAATTTAAAAATAAATCAGAGCTCAAATATATACATTTGCATAAACAAGGAACAACCAACCTATTGAGTCTTGAAAAAACATCAAAACAAACACAGTAAAAATTATATTTGTAGCATTATAGTCTGAAATGTTTATCATTAGAAAATTTCATGCAGCAAAATCCAGCACTTCCACAGCCTCATTCACGTTAGTTTCTCACTAAATTTGAGCAAGTTAAATACAATAAACACGTGCTAAGTACATTACAAATAAAGCATATACTATTTTCTATTTCATTAATTCCCTCAATCTTTCAAGATTTAGAAATGCCAACATGATGTTCTTTCACAATTGTACATTAAGCTGGTCTGTGTCCTGTTTGTAATGTCTTAGCAATCAGAAAAAAAAAAACCCCAGTATATTTTACATTACCAATAGTTCAGGATCCTCTGGATCCTATTAAAATATAACCCCCTATTCTTTTGAATAGGTAACAGAAAAGAGAATATTAAAGAGCAATGCACATACAACACAATGAGGAAAAATGCAAGAATTCTGTTTCATGACTGATCTCAGATATCAAGCAACATCCTCTTCAAACTGAATAGCAACAGAAATTAAACTTTTTTGAGCATAACATTGAACTTAAACCAGTTTCCTCAGCCATTCTCTGGGCCAACAATATTTTAACAGCGACAACATCTATCAAGTGCTGGTGTACAATTCTGTACATTCAATTAAAAATTTGTAACTCATTCTGTTGGAGGCTTAATTTTGATTCAAGTATGATCCATTATGTTACTTTTAGTTAACAACTTCAGGAAATATTTTAAGAAAGCTTATCAAGGGTATTTTTCCATTATAAAGACACACAAACATACCAAAAACTAAATAAACTTTGGGTTACATAAAAAGCACATAATAGAAATAACTATTATGCTTAAATTCTATTTCTGTCTGTTGTGCTTTCCCAGAAAATTGTTCACATATCAGACATGCATGGGATTATTGTCAAAGCTTTGTAACATCTGATAAAATTTGCCACAATCACCAATTTACTTATACTTGCTAAAAAATGTTATTGGAAATACACAGCTCCTACCTGCTGGATGAGATGCATACATTTTGAAGACTGAACTCCATATGCATTGTTGACAATATGTGGAATGTCATAATTAGCACAAATCACAGACAGCTCCTCCAGCCTGTGAGCATAAAATCATAATTAAGAGAAGCATTGATTACTGTAGCTCAACTTACAAGTCAGACCATTAAAAGACTGAAAGGTCTACAAGGAAGCCAGAATGAGAAAAGCAACTCTTTTGATTAGTACCTCAAAGCAGTATTTGTCACCTTAAGCTAAAAAGTTAAGATGAAAATTCTATTGGCTTTTACATATGCTGCAAATTGCTGATCTAGTCTGACTTTTTCTTGCTTCACTCAAATTTTTATCTGGACACCAGTTAATATATCCCAAACCATTAAGCTTTAGATACAAGCTTTTTGTTGTTGTTGTTGTTGCTTTTACTGTTAACTACGTAGCTTTAGCTAGTCACTTGTTTTTCTTTTCTCTATCATTCAATGTGAAAACAGTCTACAGTAGTTTCAACAGTGTCTTGGGAATCAAAAGCATCCTGTAACAGAAAGTTTTTACATGTTTCTGTTTATCTCAAGAGAACTAGTATTTTGATCCTTTGGCTGGAATCTCACTTGAACGTTTCAGATAAACTGATTAAGAAAAAATAAATTCTTTAAAGGAATCGAAAGCCCTAAAATGTCTGAATATGGACATCAACAAATTGAAAATTTGTTCAGCTGTTTACTCTTCACTTGCCTTTAGAACCCCCTGAAATCACAGTGAGCTCAGCCTGGATTGATTAATCAGCCAAATTAAGATTTATGTGAGCACACTGATCACTTTAAGTAAGATCCTTCAGCATTTTAAACATACTTATATGCAGTACCCTTTTCTGAAGCACTCCAATCATGCTGTATTTAAAAAAAAATACTCATGATTTTCCCCAAACTTTTGAATCTATTTTAGAAATATAATCTATATTACCTTAAAAAAAAAAATCAGGAAATTCTGCTTCCAATGCATTTTTACTCTATCTCCTCCTGTACAGCCTCTCACTGTAATTTACTGACATACATATAAAATGTGACAGAGTATGAAAACATTTTCCAAGAGGTGACATTCCTTTGCATTCTATTTCTATTACATTTTCTAGTGTTCTGCAATGCAAAATTCTGCTGCAAGTGTCAAATTAATTTTTCCAAACAAAAATTCTTAAGAAATCATCATCACCATATTATCCTTTAAAATAATCGAAAGTACTTTATAATTAGGAAACACCAGCAATATAATGTACATATTGATCTTCTACAGTCAAGATAATTGTGAAGAGCTGCATTTCCAATAATTTTTCACATTTATCAACACAGAATTACAAAATATTCCAAGATGGAAGGAACCCACAAGGATCATCGAGGCCAACACCTGGCCCTGCACAGCCCAATCCCCGAGTCACACCATGCACCAGAGAACATTGTCCAAATGCTTCTTGAACTCTGTCAGGCTTGGTGCTGTGACCACTTCCCTGGAGAGCCTGTTCCAGTGCCCAACCACCCTCTGGGTGAGGAACCTTTTCCTGACATCCAACCTAAACCTCCTCCAGCACAGCTTCTGCCCATTCCCTTGGGTCCTGTCACTGTCAGCACAGAGCAGAGATCAGTGCCTGCCCTTCCTCTTCCCCTTATGAGGAAGCTGTAACTGCAATGGGAACTCCACTCAGTCTCCTCCAGAGTGAACACACCAAGGGACCTCAGCTGCTCCTCATGTGGCTTCCCCTCATTAATAGAATACTTGAGGAAATACATTATGCAGGGCAAAGTTTTTGCCTTCTGACCTGACAGCTCTTAATCAGACACATTTCTCACCCTCTAGAGAGACTCAATGGAACACAGCTTTCCTCTTATAGGCTTCTTGTCAAGTGCAGGCACAGAATTTGACCAAACTAGAAACACAGAGTGTACAGCTATTTATATTCATTTTTCTCACCTTCTGAAAATTAAAGGAGCAGTAACCTATCTTCTACAAGTACTGAAAATAGAAAAGTCTTTTTTCCCTAAAAATATTCAATTGAACAACTAGATCCATCGTGCAATACAGAATGAGAATGCCATAGTTTGAAGAGAATGTGTCAGTGTGCAAGGGAAGCAAATGATGCACAGCAACTGTATGCACCTGCACCTTCTTCCAAGGCCTTGAATGCAGCATTGAAAATGCTACTAATCATATCAGAAAAATAAAGCATTAACAGAAGTTGGCTACTGAAGTTCTTAATAGTCACAAATACAGAAGTATCTCCCACTTTATTCTTCCTTTCTTTCTCTCCTCTTTGTTAAAGTTCATGAAAAGAAAGCTTTGTTCTACTTTTTCTACTACTGAAAGTAAAAAGGTACAGAATTCTGCTAAGTACACAGACCAACTGAAAAGGACACTTTCCCTTTGGTCCTCTTAAATACAGTAGTTTTACAAACACCTTACAACAACAGTAGGTGGAATACTGAGAAAGAGGGTTTATACACTAGAGAATTACTCCCATAGAAATAAATAGTACTTCAAAGGAAAGCCATAGGTATGGCAGCCATAAAGCTACTAAAAATTTTAAAACACGGCCACCACAACTAAATAAAGCCTTACAAATGAAGATATTTCAAAACAGACATTTAAAATTGCACCCTCCAGAAATGCTGTCAGGGTTTTCCTTCCCACAGGAAGATGAAGGTTATGGCCTTCAACAGTTGACAGTTTCTTTTAAACAGAAAGTACATTCAAATCTTCCTATATCTGTGGTATATTATAACATAGTGCCACTACCTAATAATTCATCTCTTAGTTGTAGAGGACAAAACAATAGGAGCATGTCAAAAAGAGGAAGCAGATAAGGAGAAGATTCATTTACCCAAGCTATAAAACAACCATTCAGTTTTGATAGCTGTGATTTAAGTTAGCCAATAAATCTGCAAGTCAACTTCAAGCAATGTTCATAGTATTCTGACAGAATTATATGGTTTTAACTCCCATCTTTCCCTCTAGCAACTAGGTTAACCTATGATAAATACTGGAGGATTTTTTAAGGTAGGAGAAGAGAGTGAAATATATTTTTACTTGCCACATTTTAGAGTCAATAACATTTCTTTCCTATGCTTGTGGAGAAGAGCAGAAAAGGCAACAGTAACATCAAAAAATGGTATTAGCTATGGAGCTACATTTCCTGGATTATGTTTCCATGAGAAACTACTTTTACTACTTCCATGAAATTTTATGAAAACCACGAGCAAAATGACATGAATTTCACCACAAGAGAGCAACATTAACCTCACTTACATAGCAGAAAAAAATCTTCTGTCTAACTCTCACTTTTTTAATATACTTTTCTGGAAGGGGATTAAAGAACCTTTACTAATTGTTGGCAGAAGCAATTTTAGGAAGATGGATGGTCAAAACATGGAGGTGTTGGTTGGGTTTTGTTATTGTTGTTGGGGGGTAGGGAGGATGTTTATTTGTTTTAACAGTAACAAATAACACACCTCTTACAAAGACTGCTTACCTGTCAGGTACCCTTGGAGCAAAGCAAGATGTTGTAGAATGCACACAAAGGATATTTTCAGCACCAAGAGCCTTGATTTTGGCCTCCACTACTTCAAGGTCTGTCCGTAGCTCATCACCTTCTAATACATTTTCTATCACCACAGGCTCAAAACCTGACCCAGAAAAGCAAGAATTTAATATAACTCAACAAATCTGACTAATTGTGGGGATTTAGTTTCAGTATACATTTGAGAAACACATCATGCTACTATTGTTTGAATAGATTCTAACAAAGAAGACTGTGCAAATCACACAGATTGGCACCTTCTGATCACAATTCCTAGGACACAAGTTTTTGCATAAATTTGAGAGAGAGATTTGAACCATGAGTTTTGATTTTACATAACTCTAAGGACAGCAGATTAGGCACCTTACTCTGAGAGTGAACTGTAACTTCCTTAGTATTGTTCTCACTTGACTCCTTTATCCACCTCAGTACCACTGCACACACCTGCATTTTGCAAGGCATGAGAAAGACAGCATGCACATTTTAATTACATGTTAGAAACCAGGAGTGCACAAATAAAGCAGCACTACCATGCATTAGCCTGTTTTATATCTTACTACAAGGGTAAGAATTGATCACTCTGATAGAGGGAAGTTTCATATCTGTTGGAAGAACACACACTGTGTCATCAATCAGTTACATCCTTACCTGCAGTTATCATTGATTTAAAGCAAGATTTCTGGTCTATACGTGGCCAGATAATGTACTTTGCCTTCGGTCTCTTGTGCCTCAATGTTAAAAAACACAGAGTCAGACTCATGCCTGTTGCCATAGGAACCACAAAGCAACTGGTCACTGTCCGGACACCTGCATGTAAAAAGCAAGTCAGAAATTAACATGAAGAATCCATGATGGAACTTCACAAATGAGAGAGATTTTTCAAATTTACACCTACCAGCCAGTTTTATAACATCCAGAACTACTGAATTAGTAAGTTTGTTCAAAAGGCTTGAACCTGCAGCTTTGGGCTGTACTGCAGAAATATCACCTGACCTTCCAATTCCATGGATCAACCTAAACAAAAGAAGTTGAAAACACACATCAAGACTTTCATGTTGCAAAACCATAAAGCTTGCTCACTGAAGAGAATTTCACTTGATAAACAATTGTTGAAATGCAACATCAGTATCTGCCACAATCAATTCCATTTTAACAAACAACACATATTTGTATGAATTTTTGGGGGTTTTTTTAACAGTAGATTAACAATGTTCCTGCATGCAAGTAAAAACTTGGAGAAGACCCACAGCAGCAACCCTCTAGCCTCTGGCAGGTTTCCTTTTAAGTTTCCTTTTTTCTTTTCCATTTAAGTTTCCTTTTAACACCTCAGCACTTCTTGATGTTTGTCAAAATAGCATTATAAATGCTGACATGCTCAGACACACAACCAAGGAAAACAAAAATTAGTTGTCTATAGTGTAAGGTAGCATAAGCATAGTGGTATTATAGATACTCCCTTGACAAATCCTTCATCTCCATAAGGCAAGGAAATAATACATACAAAGTGATATACATGCATATATGTATTGCTTTGCCCATCTTACACATCTTCACTTCATCTATCATTTTGCTGTTCAATGTTATCTCTCTTGGAAAAATATGTTTCTCTGAATTCTGTTTATAAATTTTGGTTATAAACTGTGTTTGTAAATGTTGAACATTATTTAGTTCAGGAGTGGAGGATCCTGAAGTCATTTATAGAATACAGGACGAATTTACCGATGGCGGAAATGCAGCAGCTGCTCAAGTAAGCTAGTAACAGTATACACCTACTTATGGCTTTAATTCCTTTTTTTGTCTTGGCAACAGAATAAAATGCAGTCCAATGAGTATATGATATTCAGAACTTCTTGGAGCATGATTTTACAGCTTAAATTTATTTTCCTGTTTCAAGTGCTAAGTTGAAATCAACAAACACTTGATAATTAATTGAAACTTACATATAATACTCCACCCAAAATATTTTCTTCCCTCATTCCTGCTATGTTTTTAATAGCTGTCTCATATCAGTACCTTTTATTTTGTGCACTTATGTACTGCTTCCTGAGAAGTAATCTTCCCTAAGACTGCCCCTTTATTAAGCTAAAAGGAGAGACAGCTTGAAAACCATCTCCCTCTACCTCCATCACTCCCCGAGTCACCTGTAAAATTATTGCAGAAATAAGTGAGGGGAGGACACCTTGCTATTGCTGACACTCACAGGAGAAGCAAGATGCCAGGTGACAGAGCTGCATTGGAACAGCAGTAGTGAGCACAGCTCAGGCTCCTCTGGCCAGGAGCCAGGCACAATTTCCCCAGCACTGTCCAAAAGCAAAACTTCCCCAGATATCCTCCCCTCCCCTACCATGGATATCCTAGCCTAGAGAACTGCACACAAAACTAAAAAAGCCAAACTGATGTATCACTGGATTTCAACATGAATTTATAATGGTACTGTAGGGCTTATGAAAGCCATTAAGCCTAAGTAACTCAACCTCCATATTCTTACCAAGCTTACTAAACTTCTGGCCCCTAATATACTTTTGTGTTTATCTTTGGAGGAGAAAAATCCTGGAACTTTCACTTTGATTCACTCCTGCTGGATAAAACATCACAGCAAGATACTCAGCACAGCACTCAACACACACATACAAAGTACATTCATAAGGAAATTAATGCAGAGCCTCCAAAATGATAGCATCCAACATATCCATTAAGTAAGTCTGAAGGGCTACAAGCTAATAAAAGCACTTTTTGTCTTTAGAGATCTCCTTACTTCATATAAAATCTATTATAGATGGACTGGGGTTTCATCTGCTTATCAACTAATCCCATTATAAAGCTATTAACAAATATTTAAAAATACAAATAGCTGTTCACTGTCAGTATTCAATAATGGGCAACTACAATGTACAGTAGTTTTTAATAATATACAGATGAAAAGCTGCACCTTGTTATAAAAGGCATGTAATGCATAATTATTTTAAAACAGTAAGACCTCTTCCTATTTCTGCTTCCCTTGTAAAGGACAACTCAACAACTTCAGCTTCTACAAAATCAATGTACAGGACATAATCCTGACAAAACATTTATGCTTCATTTAAGACTTTCTATAGAGTTATTAATGAAAATCTAATATAGAAAGCAGTATCAATTCAATAGATAAACAAACCACAATAAAGTATGCCATTGGAAAGCATTAATAATAACCTGAATAATTCAAAACAGTCAACACTTTGTACCTGTAATGCCTTCGGGCAACAAGACCTGATGCCACTCTTCCTTCCCTCTCACCAACGCCACAGTTGCCCAGGAAGTTATTGCTATCCATTATAGCAAGTTCATGAAGAAACAATTCAATGGTGCTTTCATCCCATCCATCTTCAGGACATTTCCCCTTAACAATAATAATAAAAATAAATTATGAAATTTGGAAATGAAAAATTAACAAAACTTTATGCAACTTGTTTGATAATTGTTACCCTTCTTTCTCATGCTAAGCAGCAGTCTGTATTTTCATGATTCTCTTTTATACTATCTAATGTTATGAAGCTGTATCCAGAGAAAAGTTAAATAATGATTTTTCCATGTGTTAAATACAAATACATTAACACATCTCGACATTAAAACAATCAGGATATCTTTTACCTTCAAGTGTTCTCTATGGTACACACAAAACCACTGCAGGGCATACAGGTTAATTACTCCCTAAAAGACTACAGATTATTTTATGTATTCTCTAGACACAATGTACAACTACAAGAACTCAACAGCGAAAACTGCACAAAAGGAAAGATATTCAGATATTAGAGAACCAAAAACATGAGCAGAAGGGAAATATAGTTTTAATGTAATACATCTTCCTACCTACACATATTACTTTCCAGTTATTATCTAATAGGGAATGAAACCATTTCCAAAATACATCAAAACCTGCAAGAAGAAACCTGCTCTTTCTTGTGCTCTTTACTGAATTAACAACTGCATCCATCTTTGCAAATTGCAGACAAGATTCTCAAAGCAGGGACCCATAAAACCATGAAGATTTTTTTATAGGTCCAGAGGCTTTTTCACATGCTCCAGCAACAAAACAGCCAGTTCAGTAAGTCTAATTAGTTTATCAAGTGCGGTATCAAAGTTAAGTTGGAAACAGTAGATGGCATGACTGAGGATGCTTAAGAACTGAAACATTTGCTAATTCATTGACAATGATTTTTATACGCTGAAGGCAATGAAATACATTGTTTTGGCACCTTACAAGTATCGCTTTTTTACTTCATGCAACAATATGCTAGTATCTCACTGTTTTTAAACATTTCTTTAACTGTTCGCTGGGCCTTTCTCGGCAAACGCACAGCCCAGGGCAGTAATTTTCTCTTCTTCCCAAACGAGGCCTTTCACTCTGGGGCTCCGTCAGGTCCCTGCCGTGCCGGCAGCGGCTCTCCCGGCCGGACACGGCGGTGCCGCCGTGCCCGAGGGCAGAGTCCGTGACCCCGGCCGGACACGGCGGTGCCGCCGTGCCCGAGGGCAGAGTCCGTGACCCCGGCCGCCCTGCGCGCTCACGGGGCTGCGCGGGGCCGCCGCGACCAGCCCGGCTCGGGGGAGGTTTCCCTGCCCGACCCGGTTGCTCGGAGGGCCGACGGGCGGCTCGGGGCCGCTCTGCCCTCTCGAACCCCGGTGCGCGGAGGGCGGGGGGGGTCAGCTCTGCCCCACTGCGGACGGTGGTGGCAGAGACGGGGCTGCTCAGCGCTGCTCAGTGCCCGCTCGGCCCCGGCGCGCAGGGCGGGGGGCGGCGGCCCCATTACCTGCTCCAGCAGCGCCCGCAGGCGCAGCTCGTGCGCGCGGCGGCCCTGCGCCCCCTGGCGCACATAGGCCGCCGTCACCAGCCGCTCGCTGCAGCCCTGGTTCTCCGCGTTCATGGCCGCGGCGCTCCCGGCGCCGCCGCCGCTCCCCCTCCGCGCCGAGCGGGCCTGTGCGAGCCGGGCACTTCCCGCCGGGAAAGGGCGGACGGGGGCGGTGCGGCGCACGCCGCGCCGTGGAGCTCCGGGGCCCCGCCCCGCCGGCCGATCCGCTCCGCGGGCCGCGCTCCGCTGGGCCGCCCCTGCCCGGCCCCTGCCCGGCCGCTGGGCGGGGCTCCGCTGGGCCGCCCCCGGTGCAGGTGCGGGCCCGCAGGGGAGCGGGGCCGAGGTTGGGCCTGTCACAGGCCGCGTCCCGCTGTGAGAGCCAGCTCGCCCGAGCCCAGACCGCTGGGCTGGAAGGGCCTGTTGGTGGGCTGGGTTTCCCGGCCCTGCTGAGTTTAGGCTGTTGAGAACAGCCGCGTAGCTCCCCGCTGCTCCGCCAGGGCCAGGGCCCGGGCGTCCTCTGCTCCTCGGGGCGTGTCTGGGGGCACAAGTGCTTGTGGGACGATCCTCAGGGAATAGCAGCAGCCTGCTAGGGCTGCGGGTATAACCCAAAACTGCATCACAAGGACAAAGACATGTTACCCAGCTAGACCTATTTTATTTTTGGTTTTTTGACACAACACCAGCAGGAGATTTGCAGGCCAGGCTTTGCACCTTTGCTAGGAGCTGCCAGTAAGGCCTCAGCAGGTGGCAGCTTCCCTGGAGCACGGGCAGCCGGCCGCGTCGCTGTCCTTTGCCCCCCGGCGGCCACGGGCACCGGCGGTTCCCATTTGCCTCCTCGAAATAACTAGTAGGGAGCGTAAAACAATTTAAGAGGCGGGTTAAGGATGTGGTGTGTTTATTCCAATGTTTAATTATAACCAGCCTGTATCTGGTCGACTGAATCTGTTTATGAAATCTTACCTGATTCTTCTGTTTTACAGTTTTAAGCTCAGACGGCTAATTGGCGTGTGAAGTGTACGTAGCGACCGTCCCGCTTCTGTAAGTTTAGTTAGCCTGATTAGGATCTTTTGAGCGTTTTGACAGAGAAATCTTGCCCACCTGTTTGAATTGTTGGCTCATACTATAAATAACACAGTTTCATGGCCCTTTGAGCAGAAGAGAGCTCCACAAGTCTCTCCCCGTTCGCGGTGCCCGCAGTCCCCGGCGCTGCTGGATGTGTCGCGGAGCAGCTGCTCCTCCGCGCCTGTACCACAAGAGGGCGCTCACCTAAAGCGATAAGCGCGCATTGTGCGGGAATTCCTCTTTTTTCCATCTTTTTCCTTCCGCTCCAGTGTTCCGACAAAGTGCTCAAATACATATGAGCAGATGACTAAGTTTGCTCTGTTGGTTAGAAAGATAGTGACAAAAGCTTTAGCATGAGGAAAATGACCCAGCTTATTTACATGATGTAATTCTTAGTAATTTTAATCCAGGTGGCTAATTGAAAAGTATTAGCTATTCGGAATTTAAATTAATGGTTTGTTAATTACTGTGACGGTAGTGTATATTTTTTTAATTATGAGTTCTCGTGATGTTTGAACTCTGCACTACTGAAGAGTGAGGCAAAGTAAAGGCTTTGTTAGATCAAGACCTGTGAGCAAGTTGCAGAATTCTTATTGAAGCAGAAGATGAAAACTATCAGTTAATTGCATTTTAAAATACAGTAGTATGTGTAGATAAACGCATAAACCATCAAAAAAAAAAGGTTTTTTTAAACTTTTTTTTTTGCTGTGAGGCTGGCGAGACACTGGAACAGAGCGCTCACAGAAGTTGTGAATGCCCCATCTCTGCAAGTGTATAAGGCAGGTTCAGTTGAGGTCTGAGCATCTTGGTTTAGTGGAAGGTAGCTTTGTCCATAGCAGGGGAGTTGCAAATATCTTTAAGGTCTTTAAGGAAAATCATTACATTTCCTTCCAACCCAGGCCTTTCTATGAAATAACTAACGAGTTTTTATTTTTTCAAAAGCATTAACTCAATCTTTCAGAACCTAGTGAATTGACTGTTCAATGGAACATTATTGAAACAGATACTACTCACTTGTAGCTAAAGGGAGGTGCAGTATATTAACAGTATGCTGGGAAAAATGTCAGACTTCTCCCTTTTAGTTTGATCTTTTTGTTTGCTTCTCACAGAAATTAACATCTGTTTAATTTTCTGTAGGGAAAATTACATCCAGTTGCTTCCTGGACAAACCTTCATATTTGTGTTTACTAGGCAACAAATGGCTATTCATCTGGAATCACAGCCGACTGAGTTCACTTTTAATAGAAAGGAACAGGAACAGAAATGCAAGTGTGAACAGATTTTATCAAATATTACAGATATTAATAGTTACACAGGTAAATGACACTCAGCCTAACTCCAAAGTCCGCTGGCTAACAGGCAACCCTAAGCAAAACAAACACAAGTCCAGCATTTCAGTAAGGTTATATTTTGTCAGTAAATAAGAAAAGTGATTTTTTCCCTGTAATCCAGATTATGCACATGTTAAATTCTTATACCATGCTCTTAACTATGAGAATAATCAATAATAAATATAAACAATTACTATTTTTATCTGAGAACTGATTTGCTCCCAGTATAACCCATAATATCAATTCTATGCAAGTATTTAATGCATGTGTCTTTCTCCCATATTTTACCAAAACTTGAGGAAAACCTCTCTTCAGTAGACAGGACTGGGAGAATGCATGCAGGCTGAAATCTGATGCATGGGTTATAGTTGTATATGTTATATCGTTGTATATGTTTGGGTTATAGTTGTATCCACTTTCTTCAGTTAATAACGCATGGATAGTGGGGGAACGTGGAAATAATGGCCATATATTCATACTGTTTTCTCTTATGCTGCTTTTAGGCTTCGTTTTGGAAGTTATCGTGATGATGGTATAGAACAATGCTGTGCAAAGTTTGGGGAGGGAGAGCAGTTGGCTATGGCAAGTGGTGGCCAAGAGGCAACTACTTCCAGTTCACAACACAACCAGTTCCAAGTGTAGAACTAAGTGTCTGCGATGTTTTTGTTAAATGCCCGGGATGTCTGGGATGTTTTTGTTAAATGCGCTGTCCGGGCTCCTGACCGGTCTCTGGCCAGGAGGAGCCCCAGGAGCCGCTGCCGCCCCCGCTGGCGGCGCCGCCGCGGCCCCTTTAAGGCAGGTGGCGGGGCGGGCGCGCGCACGCGCGGGCGGCGCAGCCGGAGCCGGAGCGGCGGGAGCGCCCCGAGCCCGCCCGGCCGCGCCGCCGCCGCCTCGTCCCGCCGCGCTCGGCCCCGGCCCCGGCCGCCCATGGCGGAGCCGGGCGCGGAGGAGCCCGACGAGCGGCTGCTGATCCTCGCGGAGCCGCCGCCGTCGCCTCCTCAGGCGGAGCCGTCCCGGCGGGGGCCGCAGAGTGTGAGAGCCGCCCCCGGCGGGGCCGTGCGGCAGTGCGGGGAGCCGGGGCTCGAGGAGGTGGAGGACTCGGAGGAGTCGGGGCCCGAAGGTGATGGGGAGGACGAGCCTCTCCTGCGGGCGGCGGGGAGCGGCCGCGGGCGGCGGGCGGGCGCCGCCTGGGCCAAGGAGCGCCGCGCCGCCGCAGGTACGGCCCGGCCCGTTCGGTGGGACGGGACACGCGGGGAGCGGCAGCGCCTGGGGAGGGTCTGGGGCAGAGGCAGCCCCTGCCTCGCTCTGTCCTTCCAGCGAGGCTACAAAAGTGCCTGGCGGGACTGAGGCGTGCTCTCTGTGTCCGATGGCACAGCATCGGTGAGAGACACAGGTGTGTTGACCTCTCTAGATGTATGGGCTCGCTGGCCGATAATGAAGGGAAGATGCTGCAAACGGGTAGAAATCCCACTGCTTTGTCCCTGTGTGCGGGGCTGCACGGACTCGTTTACATCTTCATGAGTGGCTCTGCTGTCACACTTCCCCGCTCTCTGCTGCTTGGTTGGGCCTTGTTTGTTTCTGTCCTGTTGTTTGAAACTTGTGGCTTTGCCTGTTTTAAAGACTGTTTTGTGGTGGGACTGGCTGCTGCTTCCTGAACACTTGGAGAAGTGTCAAGTTTTCAGTTTGACTTGCATATCCCGTAACTACTTTTTTTGCGACCCCCATCGTTTCATCTTGAAAAACAAGTCAGTCTGTGCTTGTTCTTTGTTTTACTCATATGCTCACTTTGTAACCATCACATGCTTTAAGAGTTTTAGATGTGGGCTCTACTGTCACATTTTTGGTTTTCATAAAAATGCATCCTCTCTTTCTATTTTCAAATCAGTTCTTAAAGAGAGAAATAGAATGTGAAAGTGCAGAAATGCAAGAACTTTTTAATTTAACTATTAATTTGAAAACAGATGTAAGGGTGCCCATTATCTAATTCTAAATACACTGGAAAAGTGATGAATTACATGATATTTATTAATTACTTTCTTTTCTTTAGACTTTGAAGCTTTCTGATTTTGTGCTAGTTTCTATAAAAGTTTACATCTAGGATGGGTTTGCTGACAGAAGTATGTGGAGTTCTGTCACTTCTTTGTTTTTGCTGTTGTAATTATACTGTAGGATTTCTTGCCAGAGATTGGCAACGCTGATTCTTTTACAACAATAGAGTACTTGAAAAAAATTGAAACATCCCCCCAGTCAAGTTTAACAAAATAAGTTGTGCTAATAATTCTATTTTAGTAACTACAGAGAACTTGTGCTTGTTTGGCCTGAAAGACAGAAAATTCTTGTCTTTTAAGCACTGGTCTCAAGTGTAGTCCATACCTGTAATGTAAACATGCCATTAAATGTGAGAGTTTTCCTTTTTCGTACAAGACTTAAGATCTGCTAGAGAACTAGTGCTTCTAGTAAAGTATTTCTGGAAACTTTAAAAAGAAGTTGATCATTCAGAGTGGAGGCTGGAGCCATGGGTCTTGCACCACTGAAGCAATTAGGATGGTGAAGGCAGTGTACTCTTTGGAATCTGCCCCAAAAGTGTTGAGAAAATCTCAGAACTGATATTGACTACAGCATCTCATCCTTTGTTTCCTTGTCCTTACCTTTTCTGTATGTGTGACCCTTGAAGGTGCAGGA